TCCAACTTACATTACATCGTGTTCCTGTTGAATTCTCATGTGGTTCAGCTCGTGACTTGTCATTTCTTTTTTTTTTTTTTCTAAAATATAGCCGGAAGAGATTCAGTGAGACACAAGCAGAACAGTGGTGGCAGGAGAACCGGGCGAGGGTATACCAGCAGTACAATGTCCACGTGGTTGACAAATCAACCGCCAGTGTCGACAATGACATTGCGGCTAACTGACACTAGATTGACCTGGAGAAACATACTTGATTACAAGCGGAGCTGAGGCCATGTACCCTACTACGTGAAGGCTCTCTCGTCAGTCAAGCTGGGTTGCTAACGTGGCTGCCATTTTACCTAGCCCCTTGAGAAGAGGTGGTTTCCGCTCCCAGGAAAACAGGAAGGATTTTTTATCTTCGGTTTTACATAATTCTTTACTCTTACCCCCTTCTCTTTTCTCCTTGTGTGAAAAGTAGAGTGCTTGAGCAGAGGTAATGTAAATGCTTAGTAGAAGCTGGCTAATCTATCTTGTAAATGCATAAGCAAGCATCGATTTTAGAATGTCTTGGAAATTTTTCGATATGATTGCAAATGCAAATGGCAAATCTGGGCTAAGTGGTGATGTCTCTGACGTTTGTAGTAGACCTGCAGCTCAGAGACCCTGTATGCATAAATCTGAAGCAAACTTCTCGAGGGGTTAACACTGGAAGTCGGAAGTCCCAACTGATTGGTTTAACCAGACGAGAGCAAAATGGGGGTGGACCCGTAGATGTGTGAAAGTATAAAACAAGGTGTCTGCTAAACCCTACATAATAATCCAGACTCCAGACATTAGCTTCAACTTAAATTGTTCATAAGGTTATAGTACTAAACAACATGTGCGATACACCGATCATAAGTTCAGTCACGGCCGTGAGCAGAATTTGAGTCCACATGGCCGTGAGCAGGATTCGAGTCCAAATTCTGGCTAATATGACGCAGCTGACACAGTTCTTCCACGGTTTAAAAACTAAGTCTCGCAGCTGACACAGAAAGTTCTGGCTAACATGACGCAGCTGATAGAGATTTCATCACAGATAATGCTCGGAACAAGGCTTCTTGAACTGGGAACACATCGTTTAACAAAAGGAATTGGAGTTATTTACACGAAAGAATCCCGATCAACACTTGTTTGGAATCAAGAACAAACTGACTTCCAAGCAATTTTTATTACTATTGCAAAGGGAATGATCAAAGAAGAAACAGAAAAATCAAGAATTTAGTTAGTGCTACCAACAACCAAAATGGGCTGCTGCTTTAGATCCTGTCTACACAGAGCTGAGTTGTAACAGATAGCTGCTTTCAGCAAAATCATGGAGGCTCCGATGAGACCGGCCTCCTTCATTGTCAGTGCTGCCTGTTCCTTTATTCACTATTTTTCTGCAGGCGCTAGAATCCTGCAGACAAATAAAGCACTCAACCACATGTAAAATTTGACAATAATTTGGCATCAAAATGTCATGAACATGTCATGCACACAAACCTGCAGAAGCTTAAGCATTTGCTCTTCAACAGTACCACGCATAGCCAAAGTTTCGACATGTATTGGACGCGTAGCCCCCATTCGATGTGCCCGACTAATAACCTGTTCCTCCATACTGATCAGAACAAAGAAAGGGCAAGCGTCAGTTACAAATGATACATGATAATGACAGTGATAGCAAATATCCTTTTCAGAAGTATGACAAAAGGACAAGGGCACAGCATTGGCCAATAAATTCACACTTCACATTATATTTACCCTATGGAACCATAATGATTGGTAAATACAATGGAACTAATGCAGCTGCATTTTAGTTATATTTGTTAAGTGTATGGTTAAGGCTCTATCTATAGGCCTATCTATAGGCCCAGCCTATCTATAGGCCCACTCTATATTTAGCCATGAGGCTCTCTATATATTGCCCTCTTCATCTCTGGAGCATTCTATCTTCGTGATCCCTAAGGTACGTAACATGGTACCAGAGCTATGGGATTAGGGTTAGGATTAGATTAGTCTGACCCACGATCCATTTTTTTTCCTTGGGATCCTCTCTTCTTCGCGCGGCCCGTCGCTGTGCCCTCTCGTCGGCCGTCTTCCCGCGTGGACAGTCCGTCGCCGTCTCATCGTGCCCCTTCGCCCGACGGCCCGTTGCCGTCTCATCGCCCGCCCGAGGCTTCCGCACGTCCACATCACTCGCGACTTGGATCGCGACTCGTCTCCGTCGCGGCTCGTGAGTTGCATCGCGAATCTTCCGTCGCGGGGCACGTCGCTCGCGACTCGTCTCCGTTGCGGGGATCGTCGTCTGCTGCTTCCGCTCGTCGCTGCTCGTCGCCTCTTCAACCTCTTCAATCTCCGGCTTCTCTGTTCTGCCCGCCTGTTGTTGGAACAGAGCAGAGGAGGTCCTGATCGTCATCTGCTTCCGCTCGTCGCTGCTCCACGTCTCTTCAGTCTCCAACTTCCCTGCTCTGCTCGCCTGTTGGGAACAGAGCAGAGGAGGTCTTGCACGTTCAGCAAATAGAGGGGGTCGTCTGCTTCTTATACCACAGTGGTAACAAATCGCTGCCTCCCTCCTCCTTGGTCAGCTGTTAGCAGTTGTTTCCATCATGTCTCAGTCTCAGCTCAATGCAATTGTCATCCGTATCACTTTAGAGGGTCCAAATTATCCTGAATGGGCCTTCTGTGTAGAAACTGCTTTAAGGGGTCATGGTTTACTACATCATCTAACTGACAATGCCCCTAAGCCTAAGGAGGATGGTAGTAATGCTACTGCAGTAAAGGATTGGGGTATCAATGATGGCAAAGTGATGGCTGCTATGGTCAATAGTACTAAACAATCCTTGATTATGAGTCTTTCTAAGTTCAAAACTGCTAAGGCCATATGGGAAAATCTAAAGCAGCGCTATGTACAGGACAGTGGGGCTCTTTTACATAGTCTTATGCAGCAAACTCATGTCATAGAGCAGAATGATATGTCCATTGATGAGTACTATTCTGCTTTTGATCGATTGATGGGATCATTGACTTCCATGGTACCTGAATGTTCAGCTGATTCTTGTCCAGCACATAAATTTATTGAAAAGTTTTTCACTTACAGATTTGTCATGGGAGTTCGAGCTGAGTATGATTCCATCCGTACACGGTTGCTTCACAGTTCTTCTGATCTCACTATGGCAAATGCTTTGTCAGATTTGCTTGCAGAAGAAACTCGTCTCAAGTCCCTGTCCGCTACAGTGTCTCATGGTGTGTTGGCAGCTTCTCGGAGGACTAGTGCACCCAATAGTACCTCTGCCGAACCTTGTAAGCATTGTGGCAGGACTGGTCATCTTTCAGAAAATTGTTTCTCTCATCATCCAGAGAAGTTGGCTGAGTATCGTGCACGGCGTGCTGCTCATGGTGGTCGTGGTCGTGGTCGTGGTACTGGTTCCACTCCTAGAGGCTCAGTTTCAGTGGCTACTTCCTCGACTGTTAGTGCTCCCTCGGCTTGGGTGCTTGATTCAGGCGCTTCTTTTCATGTGACCTCTGATCAGTCCCAGCTGGTTGCCTGCAAGCCGGTCCCTGATGGTGCTTCTGTTCAGACAGCTGATGGTACATATTGTCATATCACTCATCAGGGTTCACTTTGCAATAATCACTTTTCTGTACCCAATGTTTCCTTTGTACCTCAGTTGTCTATGAATCTTCTGTCGGTTGGTCAAATTACCGACCAGAATTGCTTTGTTGGTTTTGATGACTCATCTTGTTTTATTCAGGACCGTCGCAGCGGGAAAGTGATTGGGACTGGCCATCGCCGTAAAGGTGCTTCTAGCCTCTACGTTTTGAACACCCTACGTCTTCCTTCGTCCGTTCCATCTACAGCTCATGTCTCATCCGCTGCATCGTCTTCAGCCTCTTCATTTGCCAAGTGGCATCATCGCCTTGGTCATCTTTCCGGGTCTCGTTTGTCGTCCATGATAAATAAAGGTTGTTTAGGTCATACCTCTATTGAGTCTAGCTTTCATTGTAAGGGTTGTAAGCTTGGCAAACAAATACAACTTCCTTACCCTTCTAGTGTTTCTCGTTCTGCTAGACCTTTTGATATTATTCACACTGATGTATGGGGTCCTGCACCTTTTGCTACAAAAGGTGGTCATAAATACTATGTCATTTTTATTGATGATTATTCTCGCTATACATGGATTTATTTCATGAAACATCGTTCACAATTGTGTTCCATTTATCAGTCTTTTGTTCGAATGGTTCACACACAATTTTCAGCTCCCATTAAAGTTCTTCGTTCAGACTCTGGGGGTGAGTACTTGTCTGCTGTCTTTCGCCAATTTCTATCGTCTGAGGGTACACTTGCACAGCTCTCTTGTCCAGGTGCTCATGCTCAGAATGGTGTTGCTGAACGAAAACATCGCCATCTCATAGAGACAGCTCGCACACTTTTGATTTCATCATTTGTCCCTTCTCATTTTTGGGGAGAAGCTGTTTCCACTGCTGTCTATCTCATCAATAGGCAACCTTCATCTAAATTGTCTGATCACTGTCCTGGTGAAGTACTTTTTGGTACTCCTCCTAGCTATGATCATCTTCGAGTTTTTGGATGCACTTGCTATGTTCTGCTTGCACCTCGTGAGCGCACAAAATTGACTGCACAATCTGTTGAATGTGCTTTTCTAGGGTATAGTCCTGAGCATAAAGGTTATCGATGTTATGACCCTTCTTCCCGTCGCATACGCATCTCTCGTGATGTTACCTTTGATGAGGATCGCCCCTTCTTTTATAACCCTTCCACTAACCCTTCATATTCTCCCACAGAGTCCACCTCTTTTTTGAGCCTTCCTCCAAATTCATCCACCGATGATGCTTCTGCACCATCTGATCCTCCTATTTCCATCACACCACTTTTACCTCCTACAACATCCTCGTCTCCATCTCAATCTTTTTCAAAACCACCTATTACACGTGTCTACAGCCGTCGTCCCTCCCAGCTTCCGTCTAGTTCTCCCACCATGGCTAGTCCAGATGAGCCCGCTGTTGATGCTTCTAATAATAACATTGATGATTCACATGTTGATGAGTTACAGGTTGCTCCACGATATAATCTTCGAGACCGCAGTACCATTCATCCTGAAGAGAAGTACGGTTTTCCCCAAGTGCATGCTGTTGTTGATGAGCCATCCACTTATCAGGAAGCTTCTCAAATTCTGGAATGGCAGCTAGCTATGTCTGAGGAACTTGCCGCCCTTGATCGTCAAGGCACTTGGGATCTTGTTCCATTGCCATCGCACACAGTACCTATTACATCTAAGTGGGTATTCAAAGTGAAGACCAAGTCAGATGGCTCTATAGAGAGATATAAGGCCCGTCTTGTTGCCAGAGGTTTTCAGCAAACTCAGGGTCTAGATTATGATGAGACTTTTGCACCTGTTGCTCATATGACGACAGTCCGTACATTAATTGCAGTTGCAGCAGCTTCTTCTTAGCCCATATCTCAAATGGATGTCAAGAATGCCTTTCTTCATGGTGATTTGACTGAAGAAGTTTATATGCAACCGCCCCCGGGTGTTGTCGCTCCTCCAGGATATGTCTGTCGTCTTCGCCGTGCTTTATATGGCCTTAAACAGGCTCCTCGTGCTTGGCATGAGCGTTTTGTCTCAGTGATACGGGCTGCTGGCTTTTCAGCTAGTGATCATGATCCGGCTTTATTTGTTCATTTGTCACCATGTGGCCGTACGTTGCTTCTTCTCTATGTTGATGATATGCTGATTACGGGTGATGATAAGGATCACATTTGCCATGTGAAGCAACAACTCAGTGCTGAATTTCAGATGTCTGATTTGGGTCCTCTCAGTTATTTCTTAGGCATTGAGGTCAAGCAATCTACTCAGGGCTATCATCTTTCTCAGTCTAAGTATATACAAGATCTTATTGCTCGTTCAGGCATCACTGATAGTCGAACTGCTGCCACACCCATGGATCTTCACTTGCAGCTTCGTCCCACTGATGGGGTACCTCTTAAGGATCCCTCTCGATATCGACACATTGTGGGCAGCCTTGTTTACCTCACTGTCACTAGGCCGGATATTGCTCATGCAGTCCATATTTTGAGTCAATTTGTTTGTGCCCCAACTTCTGTTCATTTTGGACATTTACTTCGCGTGCTACGCTACCTACGGGGGACATCATCTCAAAGTTTACTCTATGCGCATGATAGTCCGCTTCAACTTCATGCTTACTCGGATTCCACTTGGGCGAGTGACCCAACAGATCGATGTTCCATCACTGGATATTGCATTCTTCTTGGCTCTTCTCCTATTGCATGGAAGTCCAAGAAGCAAGCAGCTGTATCTCGCTCTAGTACAGAGGCTGAACTTTGAGCCCTCGCCACTACTACTGCAGAGATTGTATGGCTTCGATGGTTGTTGGCTGATTTAGGCATCTCTTGTGATGTTGCCACACCTCTTCTATGTGATAATACAGGAGCCATACAAATTGCTAATGATCCTGTGAAGCATGAACTCACAAAGCATATTGGTGTGGATGCTTTCTTTACTCGGTCTCATTGTCATCAGAAGACTATTTCTCTCCAGTATGTGCCTTCAGAGTTGCAATTGGCTGACTTCTTCACTAAAGCACAAACTCGGGAGCAGCATCGGCTTCACTTGATCAAACTCAATGCTTTAGATCCTCCACTTTCACCTTGAGTTTGAAGGGGGGTGTTAAGTGTATGGTTAAGGCTCTATCTATAGGCCTATCTATAGGCCCAGCCTATCTATAGGCCCACTCTATATTTAGCCATGAGGCTCTCTATATATTGCCCTCTTCATCTCTGGAGCATTCTATCTTCGTGATCCCTAAGGTACGTAACATGGTACCAGAGCTATGGGATTAGGGTTAGGATTAGATTAGTCTGACCCACGATCCATTTTTTTTCCTTGGGATCCTCTCTTCTTCGCGCGGCCCGTCGCTGTGCCCTCTCGTCGGCCGTCTTCCCGCGTGGACAGTCCGTCGCCGTCTCATCGTGCCCCTTCGCCCGACGGCCCGTTGCCGTCTCATCGCCCGCCCGAGGCTTCCGCACGTCCACATCACTCGCGACTTGGATCGCGACTCGTCTCCGTCGCGGCTCGTGAGTTGCATCGCGAATCTTCCGTCGCGGGGCACGTCGCTCGCGACTCGTCTCCGTTGCGGGGATCGTCGTCTGCTGCTTCCGCTCGTCGCTGCTCGTCGCCTCTTCAACCTCTTCAATCTCCGGCTTCTCTGTTCTGCCCGCCTGTTGTTGGAACAGAGCAGAGGAGGTCCTGATCGTCATCTGCTTCCGCTCGTCGCTGCTCCACGTCTCTTCAGTCTCCAACTTCCCTGCTCTGCTCGCCTGTTGGGAACAGAGCAGAGGAGGTCTTGCACGTTCAGCAAATAGAGGGGGTCGTCTGCTTCTTATACCACAGTGGTAACAAATCGCTGCCTCCCTCCTCCTTGGTCAGCTGTTAGCAGTTGTTTCCATCATGTCTCAGTCTCAGCTCAATGCAATTGTCATCCGTATCACTTTAGAGGGTCCAAATTATCCTGAATGGGCCTTCTGTGTAGAAACTGCTTTAAGGGGTCATGGTTTACTACATCATCTAACTGACAATGCCCCTAAGCCTAAGGAGGATGGTAGTAATGCTACTGCAGTAAAGGATTGGGGTATCAATGATGGCAAAGTGATGGCTGCTATGGTCAATAGTACTAAACAATCCTTGATTATGAGTCTTTCTAAGTTCAAAACTGCTAAGGCCATATGGGAAAATCTAAAGCAGCGCTATGTACAGGACAGTGGGGCTCTTTTACATAGTCTTATGCAGCAAACTCATGTCATAGAGCAGAATGATATGTCCATTGATGAGTACTATTCTGCTTTTGATCGATTGATGGGATCATTGACTTCCATGGTACCTGAATGTTCAGCTGATTCTTGTCCAGCACATAAATTTATTGAAAAGTTTTTCACTTACAGATTTGTCATGGGAGTTCGAGCTGAGTATGATTCCATCCGTACACGGTTGCTTCACAGTTCTTCTGATCTCACTATGGCAAATGCTTTGTCAGATTTGCTTGCAGAAGAAACTCGTCTCAAGTCCCTGTCAGCTACAGTGTCTCATGGTGTGTTGGCAGCTTCTCGGAGGACTAGTGCACCCAATAGTACCTCTGCCGAACCTTGTAAGCATTGTGGCAGGACTGGTCATCTTTCAGAAAATTGTTTCTCTCATCATCCAGAGAAGTTGGCTGAGTATCGTGCACGGCGTGCTGCTCATGGTGGTCGTGGTCGTGGTCGTGGTACTGGTTCCACTCCTAGAGGCTCAGTTTCAGTGGCTACTTCCTCGACTGTTAGTGCTCCCTCGGCTTGGGTGCTTGATTCAGGCGCTTCTTTTCATGTGACCTCTGATCAGTCCCAGCTGGTTGCCTGCAAGCCGGTCCCTGATGGTGCTTCTGTTCAGACAGCTGATGGTACATATTGTCATATCACTCATCAGGGTTCACTTTGCAATAATCACTTTTCTGTACCCAATGTTTCCTTTGTACCTCAGTTGTCTATGAATCTTCTGTCGGTTGGTCAAATTACCGACCAGAATTGCTTTGTTGGTTTTGATGACTCATCTTGTTTTATTCAGGACCGTCGCAGCGGGAAAGTGATTGGGACTGGCCATCGCCGTAAAGGTGCTTCTAGCCTCTACGTTTTGAACACCCTACGTCTTCCTTCGTCCGTTCCATCTACAGCTCATGTCTCATCCGCTGCATCGTCTTCAGCCTCTTCATTTGCCAAGTGGCATCATCGCCTTGGTCATCTTTCCGGGTCTCGTTTGTCGTCCATGATAAATAAAGGTTGTTTAGGTCATACCTCTATTGAGTCTAGCTTTCATTGTAAGGGTTGTAAGCTTGGCAAACAAATACAACTTCCTTACCCTTCTAGTGTTTCTCGTTCTGCTAGACCTTTTGATATTATTCACACTGATGTATGGGGTCCTGCACCTTTTGCTACAAAAGGTGGTCATAAATACTATGTCATTTTTATTGATGATTATTCTCGCTATACATGGATTTATTTCATGAAACATCGTTCACAATTGTGTTCCATTTATCAGTCTTTTGTTCGAATGGTTCACACACAATTTTCAGCTCCCATTAAAGTTCTTCGTTCAGACTCTGGGGGTGAGTACTTGTCTGCTGTCTTTCGCCAATTTCTATCGTCTGAGGGTACACTTGCACAACTCTCTTGTCCAGGTGCTCATGCTCAGAATGGTGTTGCTGAACGAAAACATCGCCATCTCATAGAGACAGCTCGCACACTTTTGATTTCATCATTTGTCCCTTCTCATTTTTGGGGAGAAGCTGTTTCCACTGCTGTCTATCTCATCAATAGGCAACCTTCATCTAAATTGTCTGATCACTGTCCTGGTGAAGTACTTTTTGGTACTCCTCCTAGCTATGATCATCTTCGAGTTTTTGGATGCACTTGCTATGTTCTGCTTGCACCTCGTGAGCGCACAAAATTGACTGCACAATCTGTTGAATGTGCTTTTCTAGGGTATAGTCCTGAGCATAAAGGTTATCGATGTTATGACCCTTCTTCCCGTCGCATACGCATCTCTCGTGATGTTACCTTTGATGAGGATCGCCTTTCTTTTATAACCCTTCCACTAACCCTTCATATTCTCCCACAGAGTCCACCTCTTTTTGAGCCTTCCTCCAAATTCATCCACCGATGATGCTTCGCACCATCTGATCCTCCTATTTCCATCACACCACTTTTACCTCCTACAACATCCTCGTCTCCATCTCAATCTTTTTCAAAACCACCTATTACACGTGTCTACAGCCGTCGTCCCTCCCAGCTTCCGTCTAGTTCTCCCACCATGGCTAGTCCAGATGAGCCCGTCTTGATGCTTCTAATAATAACATTGATGATTCACATGTTGATGAGTTACAGGTTGCTCCACGATATAATCTTGAGACCGCAGTACCATTCATCCTGAAGAGAAGTACGGTTTTCCCCAAGTGCATGCTGTTGTTGATGAGCCATCCACTTATCAGGAAGCTTCTCAAATTCTGGAATGGCAGCTAGCTATGTCTGAGGAACTTGCCGCCCTTGATCGTCAAGGCACTTGGGATCTTGTTCCATTGCCATCGCACTACAGTACCTATTACATCTAAGTGGGTATTCAAAGTGAAGACCAAGTCGATGGCTCTATAGAGAGATATAAGGCCCGTCTTGTTGCCAGAGGTTTTCAAAGAAACTCAGGGTCTAGATTATGATGAGACTTTTGCACTGTTGCTCATATGACGACAAATTACATTAATTGCGATTCTTGGCAGCTTTCTTCTTAGCCCATATCTCAAATGGATGTCAAGAATGCCTTTCTTCATGGTGATTTGACTGAAGAAGTTTATATGCAACCGCCCCCGGGTGTTGTCGCTCCTCCAGGATATGTCTGTCGTCTTCGCCGTGCTTTATATGGCCTTAAACAGGCTCCTCGTGCTTGGCATGAGCGTTTTGTCTCAGTGATACGGGCTGCTGGCTTTTCAGCTAGTGATCATGATCCGGCTTTATTTGTTCATTTGTCACCATGTGGCCGTACGTTGCTTCTTCTCTATGTTGATGATATGCTGATTACGGGTGATGATAAGGATCACATTTGCCATGTGAAGCAACAACTCAGTGCTGAATTTCAGATGTCTGATTTGGGTCCTCTCAGTTATTTCTTAGGCATTGAGGTCAAGCAATCTACTCGGGGCTATCATCTTTCTCGGTCTAAGTATATACAAGATCTTATTGCTCGTTCGGGCATCACCGATAGTCGAATCTGCTGCCACACCCATGGATCTTCACTTGCGGCTTCGTCCCAATGATGGGGTACCTCTTAAGGATCCCTCTCGATATCGACACATTGTGGGCAGCCTTGTTTACCTCAACGTCACTAGGCGGATATTGCTCATGCAGTCCATATTTTGAGTCAATTTGTTTGTGCCCCAACTTCGTTCATTTTGGACATTTACTTGGCGTGCTACGCTACCTACGGGGGACATCATCTCAAAGTTTACTCTATGCGCATGATAGTCCGCTTCAACTTCATGCTTACTCGGATTCCACTTGGGCGAGTGACCCAACAGATCGATGTTCCATCACTGGATATTGCATTCTTCTTGGCTCTTCTCCTATTGCATGGAAGTCCAAGAAGCAAGCAGCTGTATCTCGCTCTAGTACAGAGGCTGAACTTTGAGCCCTCGCCACTACTACTGCAGAGATTGTATGGCTTCGATGGTTGTTGGCTGATTTAGGCATCTCTTGTGATGTTGCCACACCTCTTCTATGTGATAATACAGGAGCCATACAAATTGCTAATGATCCTGTGAAGCATGAACTCACAAAGCATATTGGTGTGGATGCTTTCTTTACTCGGTCTCATTGTCATCAGAAGACTATTTCTCTCCAGTATGTGCCTTCAGAGTTGCAATTGGCTGACTTCTTCACTAAAGCACAAACTCGGGAGCAGCATCGGCTTCACTTGATCAAACTCAATGCTTTAGATCCTCCACTTTCACCTTGAGTTTGAAGGGGGGTGTTAAGTGTATGGTTAAGGCTCTATCTATAGGCCTATCTATAGGCCCAGCCTATCTATAGGCCCACTCTATATTTAGCCATGAGGCTCTCTATATATTGCCCTCTTCATCTCTGGAGCATTCTATCTTCGTGATCCCTAAGGTACGTAACAATATTTACCTCCTATCCCATATTGGTTCCATGAGAAAAACATGAGTCACAAAACTCAAATCAAGCCCCAGTGCAGCAGTTCCATCCATGACTAAAGCCATACACGTTGGGTCCTCCTGGAACTTCATTAGTGCACTTCTCTGCAAAGAATTGCAGAAACATCAAGATAAACCTTAAAATATGTTTCAGATATTTGCCAAGGAGAGTTTACTTGTATTTTTGCCAATTAGGAAGATAACAAAAGCTACGTATCTAGAAAAGCCAAAACGTCTTATAATTTGGAATGGACGGAGTAACATGTGAAGGAGTAGTGGGAACTAGGAGGGCAGGAGGCAATTGAGATACTAGAGTGGTAGAGATCAGAAATTTAGAGATCAGCAATTGAGATACCTTACTAGCTAGAGGCATCGGACTATACATTCCCGCATATATTATTCCAGCAATAGTCAGCTGAGCAGAAAGGAGATCAATCGTCAACTAATTTCATATAATTATAAAGAAAGACCAAGAGTATAAGCATTTCAAACTAACCTGCTGTTCAATCACGTGAATATGCTCTAGAAACTGAGAAAAAATTATAACTTTGTCAAACATTGCCTGTGGTTGATAAGATGGTGTATTAGAATGACCAACACTATTGGTTATGTTATTCCCGGTTTCTCGCAGACTTCTTAGCTTCTCAATCAAATAAGCAACTTTGCTGCTAGATGTTGATTGCCAATCGGGATCCCAATCATCCTAAAAATTACAAAATTACAGAAACTTATTTTCAAGAGCACACAAAGTGGATAAAAATGGACAATATAGCACAAGCACGGACCTGCTTATATGAAGGCTGCAACTCGATTAGATCCTTAGGCACTGGCCACTTTGGGTTTGGATTTTCTGGCCTTGCACGAGTCTCAGGAGACTGCATCTCATAATGATTACCACAACCAGGTAATGTGCATTTTTCACTATCAAGAGCTACACAGTCAAGGCACAAAAGATGTCGACAGGGTGTGATAACAGGCAAGCGACACCAAACTCTACACCTGAAAGCAATATGAATATTTGAATAATGGAAATACTGTGATTGATACATATATGATCTTATTACAAAAGCTCCTGTACCTGACACAACTGGCACCGTTTAAAAGAGAATATCTTATCAACTGATATTCATCTGAAGAAGGATCAAAGCCATGCTGCACCAATTCATCCATTGTTTCCTGTATATCCTGACCTGCCTCGGCTACTTTGATGTGCCCGGCAACACAGCAAGATAAACGGACATTCTTCAAAGTAGTAGCACGGAATTTCCACTGCTTGGGGTTAAGAAGGGATTCTACATGAGAAGGGTCATTCCAATCAGCCATCAGTATATTTCGGCGTATAGTAACTACCAGTTCATTGTAACTTTTTGCATGCCCCTCATTGAAGTCTAGGTAGGTTATCTTCTTTATGCAAGGAGGAATATTTTTCAGGTCTGCTTTTCTTGCACTAATCATAGTCCTCTGAAGCAGTTGCACAAGACGAACACGTCCCTCTTCCATTTGTGCCTCAAAAGGCCTATGGATCCCAGAGTCCCATGACTGGTAGTTCTCACCATAAGTTTCATCATGAAGAAACTTAAGCATGGGGTGAAGATGAGCAACCTGACTAGTTGGTGTATTTGGTGTAGGTGTACCAGTTAATATCCACCTATTTGATGCAACCAAAGCGACAGCCATCTGTAACTTGTTTGTCAGGGCAAGGCTGGAACCTAGTGTGTGCCCTTCATCCAGTATAACCCTGAACCAATGGATCTGCTTTAGTGGGCTTCTCTTCTTTGGACCCCATTCTGCACTTAGTCTGCTGAATGTGGTTATGACAATGTCATAGTCCCAAGCAAGGTTGTGAGCAGATGGCTTCTTGTGGTCTCCCCACACAAAAACATTAAGGGTATCCGATGACACATGACGTTG